AACGTGCTGTTGGATTCTGTTTGCTACTACTTTGTTGAGGATTTTTGCATCTATATTCATCAGTGATACTGGTCTGTAATTTTCTTTCTTTGTAGTATCAGTGTCTGGTTTTGGTATCAGGGTGATGGTGTCCTCATAGAATGAGTTTGGGAATGTTCCTTCCTCTGCAGTTTTTTGGAAGAGTTTGAGAAGGATGGGTGTTAGCTCTTCTCTAAATGTTTGATAGAATTCATCTGTGAAGCCATCTGGTCCTGGACTTGTTTGTTGGAAGATTTTTAATCACAGTTTCAATTTCATTACTTGTGATTGGTCTGTTCATATTTTCTATTTCTTCCTGGTTCAGTCTTGGAAGGTTATGCCTTTCTAAGAATTTGTCCATTTCTTCCAGGTTGTCCATTTTATTGGCATAGAGTTGCTTGTAGTAGTCTCTTAGGATGCTTTGTATTTCTGCAGTGTCTGTTGTAACTTCTCCTTTTTCATTTCTAATTTTATTGATTTGAGTCCTCTCCCTCTTTTCTTGATGAGTCTGGTTAATGGTTTATCAATTTTGTTTATCTTCTCAAAGAACCACCTTTTAGTTTTATTGATCCTTGCTGTTGTTTTCTTTGTTTCTATTTCATTTATTTTTGTTCTGATCTTTATGATTTCTTTCCTTCTGCTAAGTTTGGGTTTTGTTTGTTCTTCTTTCTCTAGTTCTTTTAGGTGTAAGGATAGATTGTTTATTTGAGATTTTTCTTATTTCTTGAGGTAGGCTTGTATAGCTATAAACTTCCCTCTTAGAACTGCTTTGCTGGATCCCATAGATTTTGAATCATCATGTTTTCATTGTCATTTGTCTCTTGGTATGTTTTGATTTCCTCTTTGATTTCTTCAGTGATCTCTTGGTTATTTAGTAACGTATTGTTACTAAACGTATTGTTACCATGTGTTTGTGTTTTTTACGTTTTTTTCCCTGTAATTGATTTTTAATCTCATAGTGTTGTGGTCAGAAAAGATGCTTGATATGATTTCAATTTTCTTAAATTTACTGAGGCTTGATTTGTGACCCAAGATGTGATCTATCCTGGAGAATGTTCCGTGTGCACTTGAGAAGAAAGTGTAATCTGCTGTTTTTGGATGGAATGTCCTATAAATATCAATTAAATCTATCTGGTCTATTGTGTCATTTAAAGCTTCTGTTTCCTTATTTATTTTCATTTTGGATGATCTGTCCATTGGTGTAAGTGAGGTGTTAAAGTCCCCCACTATTATTGTGTTACTGTCGATTTCCTCTTTTATAGCTGTTAGCAGTTGCCTTATGTATTGAGGTGCTCCTATGTTGGGTGCATATATATTTATAATTGTTATATCTTCTTCTTGGATTGATCCCTTGATCATTATGTAGTGTCCTTCCTTGTCTCTTGTAACATTCTTTATTTTAAAGTCTATTTTATCTGATATGAGTATTGCTACTCCAGCTTTCTTTTGATTTCCATTTGCATGGAATATCTTTTTCCATCCCCTCACTTTCAGTCTGTATGTGTCCCTAGGTCTGAAGTGGGTCTCTTGTAGACAGCATATATATGTCTTGTTTTTGTATCCATTCAGCAAGCCTGTGTCTTTTGGTTGGAGCATTTAATCCATTCATGTTTAAGGTAATTATCAATATGTATGTTCCTATGACCATTTTCTTAATTGTTTTGGGTTTCTTTTTGTAGGTCCTTTTCTTCTCTTGTGTTTCTCACTTAAAGAAGTTCCTTTAGCATTTGTTGTAGAGCTGGTTTGGTGGTGCTAAATTCTCTTAGCTTTTGCTTGTCTGTAAAGCTTTTGATTTCTCCATCGAATCTGAATGAGATTCTTGCTGGCTAGAGTAATCTTGGTTGTAGGTCTTCCCTTTCATCACTTTAAATATATCATGCCACTCCCTTCTGGCTTGTAGAGTTTCTGCTGAGAAATCAACTGTTAACCTTATGGGAGTTCCCTTGTATGTTGTCGTTTTTCCCTTGCTGCTTTCGTTAATTTTTCTTTGTCTTTAATTTTTGCCAGTTTGATTACTATGCGTCTCAGCATGTTTCTCCTTGGGTTTATCCTGTATGGGACTCTCTGCCCTTCCTGGACTTGGGTGGCTATTTCCTTTCCTGTGTTAGGGAAGTTTTCGACTATAATCTCTTCAAATATTTTCTCGGGTCCTTTCTCTCTCCCTTCTCCTTCTGGGACCCCTATGATGCAAATGTTGTTGCATTTAATGTTGTCCCAGAGGTCTCTTAGGCTGTCTTCATTTCTTCTCATTCTTTTTTCTTTATTCTGTTCTGCAGCAATGAATTCCACCATTCTCTCTTCCAGGTCACTTATCCGTTCTTCTGCCTCATTTCTTTTGCTATTGATTCCTTCTAGCGTATTTTTCATTTCAGTTATTGTATTGTTCATCTCTGTTTGTTTGTTCTTTAATACTTTTAGGTCTTTGTTAAACATTTTTTGCATCTTCTCGATCTTTGCCTCCATTCTTTTTCCGAGGTCCTGGATCATCTTCAGTATCATTATTCTGAATTCTTTTTCTGGAAGGTTGCCTATCTTCACTGCATTTAGTTGTTTTTCTGGGGTTTAATCTTGTTCCTTCATCTGGTACATAGCCCTCTGCCTTTTCATCTTGCCTGTCTTTCTGTGAACGTGGGTTTTGTTCCACAGCCTGCAGGGTTGTAGTTCTTCTCACTTCTGCTTTCTGCCCTCTGGTGGATGAGGCTCTCTAAGAGGCTTGTGCAAGTCCCCTGATGGGAGGTACTGGTAGTGGGTAGAATGGTAATTTTTTTAAATTTTATTTATTTTATTCATTTATTTTTGGCCGCATTGGGTCTTCGTTGCTGCGCACGGGCTTTCTCTAGTTGCAGTGAGCAGTGGCTACTCTTCGTTGCATTGTGCACATTTCTCATTGCAGTGGCTTTTCTTGTTGCGGAGCATTGGCTCTAGGTACATGGGCTTCAGTAGTTGTGGTGCTCCAGCTCAGTAGTTGTGGCTCGCAGGCTCTAAAGCAGAGACTCGGTAGTTTTGGCGCACGGGCTTAGTTGCTCCACGGCATGTGGGACCTTCCTGGACCAGGGCTCAAACCCGTGTCCCCTGTATTGGCAGGTGGATTCTTAACCACTGTGCCACCAGGGAAACCCTCATTATATTCTTAATTCATACTTAACATTAAATATTAAATTAGATAATAATTAGACCAGGTAAGCATCACTCTTTTTGCATAGTTGGGTAAAGATGAATCAAACAAAACAATATTTACTCAGATCCCAAAGCTGTTGTTAGCCTTAGCATATTATTGAACTCACTGCAGTAAAAATTTGCTATTCTGTGGTGAATGATAGAGCTCAGATCTGGTAATGCTTTTTGTATGTTGTGAGGTCTGTAAATTTAGTGTAGCAATTTTCCCCGCCTCCCTTCTATATTGTGGCCTAACTGGCTACCTAAATGTTTATTGAATGACTATTGTTACTTTGAGATCTAATCCTCCTTTTTTGTTTTTAGGGTGCCAGCTTGATATGTTGTTTAATAGTTAGTAAATTAAGGCACATTTTGGGCTAGACTCCTGCCTTTTATAGCTATTAGGTTACCATAGAAACAAACTTTAGCGTTTTTGCCTTTCTCCTTGAAAGGTAGATGTAGGTGTGATGTAGGTAGGTTGAACTAAACATTACTTTTAATTCTGATTTGTGGTAGCAAGTGAATATTTTGCTATTACAATAGTCCCCCTTTATCCACGGTTTTGCTTTCTGCAGTTTGTTACCTGGGATCAACCACAGTTCGAAAATATTAGGTGGAAAATTACAGAAATAAACAATTCATAAGCTTTAAATTGTGCGCCATTCTGAGTAGCATGTTGAAATCTCCCATCGAGATGTGAATCATATCTTTGTCCAGCATATCCAGCCCATTAGTCACTTAGGAGCTACCTCTGTTATCAAATCGACTGTTATGGTATTGCAGTTCTTGCATTCAAGTAACCCTTATGTTTTACTGAGTAACAGCCCCAAAGTGCTAGAGTGGTGATGCTGGCAGTTTAGACATGCCAAAGAGAAGCTGTAAAGTGCTTCCTTTAAGCAAAAGGCAAAAGTTCTCAACTTAAGGAAAGAAAAAAAGCATATGCTGAGGTTGCTAAGATCTATGGTAAGAATGAATCTTCTGTCTGTAAAATTCTGAGGAAGGAAAAAAAATTGTGCTAGTTTTGCTGTCACAGCTCAGACTGCAAAAGTTATGGCCACAGTGCTTAGTTAAGATGGAAAAGTCATTAAATTTGTGGTTAGAAGATATGAACAGAAAATAGGGTTTGGTGCCATTTGAGGTTTCAGTCATCCAGTGGGGGGTCTTGGAACTTAGCTCCCATGGTTAAGTGGGGAATAGTGTATTTTTAAGATGTTTGGCACTTTTTAGTAGGAGGCTTGTTAGGACTTCTGGTTTATTCACTGTGGTGCACAGACATTTCTTCCTGAGCCCTGTACTTATATGATTTGGTTCATTACTTCCCAAGTGTGGATTTTTTCCCACTGTAGTTTTATAGAAAGACTTGAAGTTTTTCTCTTTTTTAAATTGGTATTAATACACTGCCCCTTATAAATCAGTTTACTCTTACCTGGAGGTTTCTGATGCTGCATTTAAGGAGCTCTGGAGATTAAGCTGAGGTAGGTTAGTGGTCCACTGGAGAAGGGTTCCCAGTGAGTATGGAGTGCAAAATAGTCTTCTAAATTAAATATTTTATAGTCATCATCTTTGTTTTCTGGCTCCTGTAAGTTAATATTTTCAATGAATGATGCAACGCAATAAATAAATCCCAAAATCTGCTGGCTTAGGAGACCAAACTGTGCATATATATTTAGTTTTTTAAAAACTGTTACCAACTCATGACATTTTTTAATGAGATCTGAAATATCCTTACTAAGTTGGTAAGGGAGGTGTGTTTTGGGTATGAAGTAATGACTTAAGGTAAAATTTTATAGGCATCATCTTAGCTTTTATTTCACTTTGTCTTGTAGTTGGTGTATGAATTCTTCTTAAGGTTTTTGGAGAGCCCTGATTTCCAGCCTAGCATTGCAAAGCGATACATTGATCAGAAGTTTGTACAACAGGTAAGGAATTCTTCTGTCTTAAATTTTTGTATTCATCTTAGCAATGATTTATTAACTTGTGATTAAAATAGTCTTTCAAAACTTTAAGGATTTCTGTTTAACAGCACTTAATATTCTTGCCAGGCAATGAGAATAAAAGTAAGTAGCTCTGAGAACACAAGAGTATTTTTTAATCAAGGGTGGCCTTCTAGTGAAGTCAATCAAATTATTCTGTCCAATCCTAAATCCTCATAGTTGTTTTATAAAGACCAGAAAAGCAAGCGTTCCTGGAATATCTAACTAAGAAAATTTGGTATAACCAGGGGGGAAACCTTTTTTAAAATCTTTAAGTCTCTGAGCTTGAACTTGACATATGGTTCTAAGCACTGTGACTTTGAAATGACAGAGGGTGGAAAAAATAGAAATGGAATTATTGTTAGAAGTTTGGGCTTTATGCTTCTTTCTTATCATCAAGTGTCACTTACCTTTCCTTTCCGCCCCCCCTTCCCATCTTAGGCATTCTAGCCACCCAGTTCCTAAACCACAGATAAAATGGGATCTTTAAGAAGAAAAGGAGATAGAGTTAAACATGTGTGATACCTTCTTTCTTTTTATAAGTTGATTATTAGTTGGTTCTTTTGGAACCTAAATACTCAAAATTAGTTTCTCAGAATGTGTTTATTTTTATTTTCAAAATCTTTTCACCAATTTAAAGGCCTCTTTTTAACTATGTGGTCTTTGCTGGCCCTAGACAAAATTGTGAAGTAGACCAAACCTCTCTGGGTCCATTTTCTCTTTTGAAATACTTATCTGTAAATTGGGTCTCATTAGGAATTCTCCTCTTCTAAACTAATTAGCATTTTAAAGAAAGGTAGGAGATGGGTGGAAGGGTTGTAATGAAGTGCTGAGGCCAGGATTAAAGATCATTACAAGGACGTTTGCTACCCTCTTCCCACCATTGTGTGTCCCCTAGGATAAAGATTATACAAGCATGAGTTCCACATATTTGGAGTTCATTTTTGGTCACTTCCTGTAATTACCAGATAAAGTATTTTGACTAGTAGCTGTGAAGTATTGATAAATGAAGAATATTGTCAACAATATGTCCTTAAGCCATTCAAGTAGTTCTTCATAAACTATGAAGAAATATTAGGTGTGTGTTAACAGTAAAATGTTAATTTCATTTCAATAACAAGTTAAAAGCAGTCAGATTAAATGGAGTTATGTTATTTTGGTAATTGGAAATGAATGCATATTTATTTCCTTCTATAGCTCTTGTGTGCTACAGAAGGAATACAGTGTATTAAGGAACTTTAGTAATGCCATGTTAAATTGTATTTAAGATAATAGCAGGTTGAGTGGAACAGTTGCCTTAGGGCTTCCTCACCCTGGAGCTTGAGGTGTTTTGGCTGCTGGATTATTCAGTGGATTTGAGGGGGAACAAGAAGAAAACTGGTAGGGTAGGACCCATTTTCTACGTTCTACTCTGAGTGTCTGAATTATCTGAGAAGCCAAGGCCCAATAATTTGTTTCTAGCAGTTTCTATCACTGTGATTTCACAGATCACTGCTCTGAGGTATTCTTAGTATATTGCTTCAATAAATATTACTATGAGAATTCTCAGCTTTTGTACTTTGAAATTATTTGATTAGGTGGTAAGTTTAAGACTTAGAAGTACAGGAGAAAAATCTAAAGTATAAATTTGGACATTTATTATTTCAAGAGAAGAAAACAAGTGTGTAGTTCCAGGTTATGTTCAAATCATAGGATTTCAGAAGAAGGAAGCTAAGAATTATTGAGTGCTTTTTATGTGCCAGGCACTGTCCTTATATGCTTTTATATAAAGAGCTAGACCATATCCAAATTCACAGAGCTAGAAAATGGCACAATCAGGATTTGATTATATTTGATTATATAAAAATAGTTTTATTTAGATTGTAATATTTCAAAATAACTTATTTAAATAGATTTGACACTTAGCTAACAACTGTTCTCTACTATTTTACGTTGACCCTGAGGATCAACTTGTATTACATTATGTTTGTTCTTGAATTAGACATAGCAGCCTTAACAATTAAGGGTTCCTTTTATTAATTTCAAAGCATATCTTCCAAGTAAACCCCACATCAGAACTTGGATTTGAGTGTCTTAAGTGAATAGTTTAGCTATTTTAATTAAAATAATTTAAAGCGACTTAATTAGGTATATTAACATAAATTCTCATACTCTATGGATATTTTTTGCTGGAGCCGCATGCAGTACTTAATAATCTAGCAAACAACAAATGCAAACTATAAGCCAAACACTTTAGGGTTATATAAATGTGACTAAAGTCATCACTACTCTCAAAGAATACCCACTCTTGTAGAAGAGAGACACATGTAAACAATTACATATAATTCAAGACAGAATGGAAAAAGAACTTAAGATTCAGAGCATGCCATCATGACTGTAATTATCAATCCCAAAGTACAGAACATAAAATTCCTTGACAACATCATAGGAATTGTATTCTATAAAGAGAGGTTTTGTATATTTTTTCCTAAGAAAATCCAGTGTTTCATTTAAATACAGTAATACTTTTTTTTGACTGAAGAATTTCAGTTTCTTTACCGTTTTAAAATGGAAATTTGAGCTTTTGATTTAAAATTTTTCAAAGATCTCTTTGTCCTGCCTTTGCTGAAGAGTTGTGTAGAGGTGTAGGAAAATGCTGATTTGGCCAATTTGAACTGGTTTAAAATTTTTCAGCCATTTGCTAAGCTGACTTTAAATAAAAATCTGTAGTCTCATCTTTTATTTCAGTTATTTCATGAATGATTTTCACTCTGTTAGCATATATCTACCAGTATTTTACCTATTAACTAAATATTAATCTTTGAGCTGTTGGCATGGTGACTTGAATGTTTTTAGTGTAAGATCACAAAAAAAAAGAAGCCTTAGTTTGTATAAATTTTCCTAGTAAACTAGAAATACGCATTTGTGCATGTGTATTTTTTAAACTTCATTTATTTAACAATTTGCGGTCTACAAGCTTAAGATTCTGTATGTAGTTTTGACATACTATCAAAAAACATTTAAAAATCTCTCACATTTCAACACTTTAAAATTATGAGCCATGTTTAGTAGTCAGGAGTAGGTCAGCATTTTAAAATGAGTGGCAAGGCCAAAAAACAATATTCCACTTCTTGAAGTGTTTATATTATTTATTGTGTGTCATTTTTCAAAATGAAATTTAAAAAATACTCCATAAGCTTTTCTTTAGTTTCATTATTTAGCAAGAATAAAGTCAATCTGATGAGGCAGAATCTTTTTAAAACTTTTAAAGCTTTTGTGGATTATCTTAAAATCAAAATTAGAATAGAGTGAAGTTTTAGCTCGATTATTTTTAAAAAGTAATTTCTCAGATTTTTTTTAAAGCTCCTGGAGCTTTTTGATAGTGAAGATCCCAGAGAACGCGACTTCCTGAAGACCGTTCTGCATCGAATTTATGGGAAGTTTCTTGGATTAAGAGCATTCATCAGAAAACAAATTAACAACATTTTCCTCAGGTAAATTGGTTGTATATTCATATACAGCACTTTTTTTTCCCTTCCATATTTTCTTTTTATTCCAGTTCTTTTAGGTTAATTTTTTAAAATAAATTTATTTATTTTATTTATTTATTTTTTGGTTGCGTTGGGTCTTCATTGCTGCATGCAGGCTTTCTCTAGTTGTGGCGAGCGGGGGCTACTCTTTCGTTGCGTTGCACAGGCTTCTCACTGCGGTGGCTCTCCTGGTTGCGGAGCATGGGCTGTCTAGGTGCGGGGCTTCAGTAGTTGTGGTGCGCGGGCTCAGTAGCTGTGGCTCGCAGGCACTAGAGCGCAGGCTCAGTAGTTGTGGCACACAGGATTAGTTGCTCCACGGCATGTGGGATCTTCCCGGATCAGGGCTTGAACCTGTGTCCCCTGCACTGGCAGGCGGATTCTTAACCACTGCACCACCAGGGAAGCCCCTTTAGGTTAATTTTTAAAGTCTGAAACTTAGAAACTTAACTGATAGTACTTGAGTCATTTTTAGCCTGTTTTGTGGATATCATTTGATTGCATCTAACTTTTTCTTGTAACTTCTCATCTAAGTGGATAGTAGTAATGAAGACAGTTTTTAATAGATAATACCAGTGTTACTGATGTTTAAAATTTATTGAGAGGAGAGTTTGTCTGATTATTTATTTGAGCACTTGTTTAAAAAATTTTGTATAAATACTATTTAAATCAGTAGCTGTTGGCAGTATTTTCATTCGATTTTCTGACAAAGCTAATTAAATTTATCTTTTGACTACTTTATCAATGAAATCTATTGAGTAGTTGCTTCAGATTAGGAGATTTTGCTTTAATACCCAAATTTCAGGTTTGGTTTGTTTGAGTTGACAATGTGGCAAAATTAGGCTAGCATTTTCACACTGTAACAGTCAGAGATGAGAAATATTGCCTCCTCTAGAGAGAACATCTTTGTCCAGCTCTCTGTCGTTCTCTCTGGGGCCCTGCCCATCATTTATGGTATCTTCTCTGCCTATCCTGTCATCATCTGAGTCTATGATTCCCTACGTTAAAGGCGACCCTAATCTTAGAAAGCTAGTCAGCCTGTGTAGTTTAGGCTTAGAGAAATTCTGAGTAAAAGTGGCTTTAATACATGAGTCCTTTTCTCTTAGAGTTACCTATGAGTAGAGGTTTCCTATTTTAAAAAGTATTTCTTTGAGAAGACCCATCTTTCTTATAAATTTTAAAGTAAAATAAAATATTCCAGATGAAATTATATTGTTATCTTAATATATAGCAAATTTTAGCAAAAGTATATGTGGTTTAATAGGAAATAGACCTTTTATAAGATTGCTAAGAAGTAACTCATTGGGGGCAAAATAGCTTACAAAGAATTCATTCCTAAAGTGTGCTTGAACATTTCTTATATTTGCCCCTTAGATTTCTTTGTACCTTCCTACATCTTTCTCTCAGTTTAATTTTCTGATGTTTGATTTTTCTTTATATCTATCTTTATTTTAAATTTAGGTTTATATATGAAACAGAGCATTTCAATGGTGTTGCTGAACTCCTTGAAATATTAGGAAGGTAGGTCAGTTTTTTGTTCTTTTTAAGAATTAAGTAACTTTGAATGCTTTATGTATTAAAATAGCTGGGATTGGAGAAATTATTTCATATTTTAGAGTTTGAATATATAGTATAAGGCATAGTTTCTCAACTGAATTCTTATTATAGCTTTTCAGGGGGTCAGCATATTAAAATAGTGCCATGCAAGACACCTGTTTCAGAATAGACTTGTGCTTTTGAAGCTGTGGCATATTTTATGTCTGATCTTTCCAGACTGCCTCAGAAACCTATAGGATCTGATTGGGAAGAGATGAAATAAGTTATAGTGAATCTTTGGTGAAGTTACAGGAATTCTTGTTCAGATGTTGATAGATCATTCCTATACATCTTTTCTTTTTAGAAGAATCTACAGCCTTTGATTTTTGTTTATATGAACATTTTTGCCTTCCTTATTCACCACATAGCAGTATTAACATGAGAGACATTTAGACCCTCTATTTATGTTTAGAGAATGGTTTTTGTTTCCTCTGTTAATACTTAGAGAATGATTATGGCGAGAACTACTTCTTAATTTCAGATCTTTCAATAAAGTAAGAGAAACTACCCATTTACTTTACAATATATTGAAAATTCTAACAATATTGTGATATTGACTCTCCTGTGCTTTAGAGAAGAAAAATAAAGGCATGAATAAGTGATAGGCTTTATAGAAAACATAAAGTTGCTTACTGGGACATTAAATTGGCAGTCCCCATTTTCTTTTGGGATCACTGAATGACTTAAAGGAGCAGACTTCGTAGTGATAGTCTAACGTAGTTTGCAGGTGAGTAAGTCATTCAACACCAGGACTGAAGCAGAGCAGTTCCTAGGTACTTAGGGATGTAATAACTTTTAGAAATAAAGTAGTAACTACGTAACCCTTCCCCTGCCTTTTTTTCCCTCCAGTATTATCAATGGCTTTGCATTGCCACTGAAAGCAGAACATAAACAATTTCTAATGAAGGTTCTTATTCCTATGCATACTGCAAAAGGATTAGCTTTGTTTCATGCTCAGGTAAGTTGCAGGAGATTTCAGGTGAAATGAATGTTGTTTCAAAGACTGATATAAAGGCAGAGAAACTGAGAAATATTGAGGTGGCAATTTTAAGTATATTTAAGCAATTTGCTTTTGTAAGTTGCCCAAAGCAAATTTTTACTATATCATCATTTTTAAAGCATTATATTTAGTTTTCTTAAGTAAGCTGAATGAACTGTAAGTATAGATATAGGAAAGATCAAGTTCTTTTCTGGTCCAGGACCTGACCTAACTCACTGTGTGACTTTGATAAATCCCACATATCTGCAGAGTGTTCCATCTAGCCTCAATGACCTAGTTAGAGAATGGTTTTAGTTTCCTCTATTAATACTCAAAGAATAATATCATATCGGCATAGGCGTACATGTTAGAAATGTGCTGAAAAACTAAGATGTTAGCTCTAGTCTTATTTCAGTCAACTTTATTTATGTGTATGTATCTATTAATTTATTGTGCTATAGTTTCACTTCTGATTTGTAAGACAAAGACAGTGCTTTTAATTCCCCAAAGAACTGGTCTGCCACCTAAATGATATCGAAAGATTGATATGTCCAACTACATTTTCTTTAATATTTCAGTTAACTTAATATTCAGAAGTTACTACTGAAAAAAGGACATCTTTTTTTTTTTTTTTTTTTTGAACAATATTCTTATCTCTTTTCCCCCCCCAAGTCCCCTTTTCTCCCTTTGATCTTACAGGCCTTC